ATCAAGTTGCCTCCCCTTAGCATGTTATGACCAGCAACTATTAATTTCTATATTTGCCTCTCTCGCCATAAAAAGCCCTCGGCATGGTCCTAAGTGTCCTGCAGATCCACAGCGCCAGGAGGATCTTCAGGTGTTCAGGAACATCATTTCCAGAAACTACATGTCCCATATATTTGTATTAGTTCACCACTCGTATCCCATTGCTTTCTTACTGGGTAGGATTCTATGCAAATTGCATTTATTCAGTCCCGGCCGGGGTCAGCGTTCCTTACGTGGTGACGTCCCCTCTGTGGTCTCCAGTACGAATAGCTTGTGTGGTTGTGCCATGCTTAGTGTGGCACAGCTGATATTGCTGCCTTGGTTGAAACCCATATTGTTCACATTGTGATCGGATGGGGATCTGTTAGTGCAGGGGTGGCCACAATTTTTCATCTGGAGATCTACTTTTCAACTGACGAGCTCAATGAGATCTAGCAACAAAAAAACTACCTGCGGGAGGGGGCGTGACAGTGCATTGAAGTCAACCGGCCCTCTCTTCTCTCTCTCCTCTCTTTCTCCCTGTTTCTATCTGCTGTCTCTTCTTTCTCTGCTCTCTCCTATCTGTCTTTTCTTACCTCCACTGCAGCAGCTTCCAAAGTCTCCTCTCCTCTCTCCTTCCCATCTGCGGCGTCTGACACGTTCAGACGCACGAACACCGCGGGAGGACAGGACACAGGTCAGTGAGCCGATCGCGATCTACCGGTAGATCGCGATCTACCTAATGGGCACCCCTGTGTTAGTGGATACCCATCACCACCAATGCCTTCATCTGCTGCTTTTTTTTTTCTTCTTTTTTTCTTCTTCTCTGCATAAGGATGGTGCCATCTTTGTTCGGGGCCACCCATAGCTTGAATTGTGGCTGATTCAGCTGCATTGGGTGACATTTAACTAGTTTATGGCCAGTTTCAATGTAACTCGGGATCTCGAGACCCGCCAGCGTCCCAATTCACAACTCTTTGGGCTGGAATGTGGGTGGCTACCATTTGATGCATCCGTGTCCCATCCTGATCATGTGATCACAGATCCCGGTCTGGTTGTAGGGTAGTGGTGATGCGGTTGACAAGATGCCATGCAATGCAGCGTCAGGGAATTGGTACCGGCGAGGAGGAAGATCATGGGACTGCAGATTGAAGCTGATTCCCGGCCTTCCTGTCCGTCTTGCACGCTTTATATCGTCCCATTCATATTGTAAAGATCTTCTCAATCTGTTGACGCTATATGAATCCTATATAGTAATAAGCACAGGTTCAAAGCTACCCTACTCTCCAGTCATGTGACCTCTGCGTCTGTCCTCAGATGGAAAAAGCCAAGGTACACTATGATGCCAAGAAAGACCAGAACCAGGAACTGAGTGACAAGCTGCAGACCATCACCCGAGAGCGGGAGCATCTGCACAAGGAGAACGAGGAGCTCAAAAAGGAGTCCGAGCGGATCAACAAAGAGCTCCAACTGTCGCTGCGTCAAACCAAGGATGCCGAGCAGAACTGTAAGGCCCTGACCAGCCAAGTCCGCAGTCTGGAGGCGCAGGTGAGTTGCTGACATATCTCGCACAGTTTTCTGGGCTCAAGGGTCTAATGCCGAGGAAGCGTGGCCTTGTGTGGGTGGAGAGAACCCAGGCAGGAAGCTTGTGCAGGGAGAGAGAAAGTGATGGCATGGAAAGGGGGAGGCTCACTGCAGGCTTCGAAAGGGGGTAACGGGGCGCAGGCATGGAAAGGGGGTAACGGGGCGCAGGCATGGAAAGGGGGTAACGGGGCGCAGGCATGGAAAGGGGGTAACGGGGCGCAGGCATGGAAAGGGGGTAACGGGGCGCAGGCATGGAAAGGGGGTAACGGGGCGCAGGCATGGAAAGGGGGTAACGGGGCGCAGGCATGGAAAGGGGGTAACGGGGCGCAGGCATGGAAAGGGGGTAACGGGGCGCAGGCATGGAAAGGGGGTAACGGGGCGCAGGCATGGAAAGGGGGTAACGGGGCGCAGGCATGGAAAGGGGGTAACGGGGCGCAGGCATGGAAAGGGGGTAACGGGGCGCAGGCATGGAAAGGGGGATCACGGGGGGCGCAGGCATGGAAAGGGGATCACGGGGGGCGCAGGCATGGAATGGGGATCACGGGGCGCGCAGGCATGGAAAGGGGATCACGGGGCGCGCAGGCATGGAAAGGGGATCACGGGGCGCGCAGGCATGGAAAAGGGGATCATGGGGTGCAGGCATGGAAAGTGGGGGAAGGAGAGGATTTATGCAAAACTATGTAGCTAACTGTAGCGGTGTTTCTGAAACTTGCATCCTCTGTGAAGGACGACAGTCCGTGTACAGAATAAAAGGCTCCCCTCAATCCTCGTGGAGAGATTTGGCCTCCCGTGGGTGGTCTGGGCCCGGTAGTACAGTCACAGCAATGATTTGTTCTGATCCATTCTGTAGGTGGAGTATGCAGACCGCCAGCTGAGGGAGCTGGGCAAGTTCCAGGTGGCCACTGATGCCTTGAAATCCCGGGAAACCCTAGTACCCCCACGGGTGACCCGGAGTCGGGCGGATGTCAGTACGGACAGCCTGGAAATGAGTGATGAGGATGAAGACCCCATGAACTCCACCAGGTAACTGTGTGATCGGCTTCTTGGTGATCTGGTCGGGGATTTGTATGGAGACTGGTGTACAGAGGGAAGGACTGATGTTCATTAGTAGACCTGTAGAAGCTTAGGGAGGAATTGACTTGTGTTTTCCAAAGTCAAGGATGGGAGCGCCGGTTACTCCCACTTCAGAATAACTACCTTTCCTCCATCAAACAGAATGCTGAGACTGGTGTAAAGAGGAAAGCACTACTGCCAGAGTTGTCAGGCCACAGCCCCCCCGTCCCCTTCCTGTTCATTTGGCCCCTCAGCCGATCAGGTGGGGGAATGGGGGCATGTGCAAAATATGTTCCAGCCTTTAGGAACTTCTTGTTTGCTTTGGTAGTGACATCTGGTGAGTTGCATTACCCCCTGCCTCCCTGGGGTAACACTTGGCTTTTGGGAACTCCGGTGGTGAGGTCTTCCTGCCTCTACTCGCTCACGTCCACCTTGGAGTTTTAGGTGTTTCTCTACAGTCAGATAAGGCAGAACGTTGACTGACTCATGAACTACAGAGCCACCATATATGCTGGTGACCCCAATCCAGGCACCTGAGTATTCCGGCTTGGGGTCCAAATACACATATGGGGCCAATCAGGTTCTGTCTCATTTTCAAATCTTACCTGAGCAAACTGAAGAGAGAAGCTGATTGGTTGCCATGGCCGGCTGCTCCAGATTCTCTCTGCTCCAGTTTTGATAAATTTCCCACCATAGCTTCTTGGAAAACAGATGGGACTTTTCCGGGTTCTGGTCTTGCTTTTATTATTCACAGCGCACCCGCAGACACTCTTCCCTCAGGCGTCTTGTCATAGGAAGGGTTAGTCCTAGACTGAAGGACTGTGCACCTCTGAGTGAAGTGTCAGTGGGAGGAGTTTGTGCGCGGTTCACTGTGACTAATAAAGTTGAATGTGTGACCAGAACTTGGAGCACAGAATCTACAGTATTTTCCAGATATTT